CATATTTATTTTCTTTGGATGAGTTTTGTTTGGTTTCGCTGGAAATGATTAATTCTCCATTTTTTACTGTTGTGTAAATTATTGTTCATTTATGTGCTTTAGAATATGAGAAATTTGAAATGGAAATATATGAATGGTTTACTTGTGTTTTTGGATGAGCATATTTAACATCATTGGTCCCATGGTGATATCGAGATTGTAGATTGATGTATACTCAGTTATGCTTAGATGTTATATGATTTAGATTACAAAGGTCTTTAGGTTTCCCTATCTGATTGTTCCATTAAGATTGTATAGTTTGCATAAACAACAATTTTGGGGGGAAATCTGTCATACATAAACTTGTTGAAAATGGTATGCACACTTAGAGGATATGTTAATTAACTTGAGATAAATACGTTCTTAATTTATCCCTGAATTGAATTGAGAAAAAGCAAGTAAAGGGAGAACAATCTTCCTATAAGTTAATCACCCACAGACAATGAAACTAATTTGTCTTATTTTATGTTTGAAATGAGCATTGAGATTTCTATGATGCTGGGGACTTTCCATTATTTGTTGCTAGATGTTGAACTGGGTCTATGTTTTAAGTATTGTCATATTCGAAGTAAATTCGTAGTATGTAATATTCTGTACTCGATGAAAATTTTACTTCAGCTACTGTTCTATGCTTAAATTGCTTGTGAAGTTAGGGATATAAGGGCCTATGAGAAGTATTTCCTTAATTGCTTGTCTGGATAGTGTCACTGCTATGTTGCTCTGATTTTTCATTATTCTTGAAGTGTGGTGTGTCACTCTCTAAATACATGGTAGAACTTAGAAGATGAAAAAAATAACAAACTTGGAAATATACACATATATAACACACACCAAATTCTGAATAACATAGTTGCATTGTTTTGTTTTTACATGTACCCAAGAGTCATAAATTCATAACATTTTTTCTTAGATGAGTTTCATGTTTGTATTTCCTTGTGAATCATCTCATCATGGTTTCTTATAAACATTTATATCCACTGCACATTTCTCACTTTATTGAATGGGTGCATGTTAATTAGGGTTGAAAAATCTTAGTTCAAAATCGAAAGAAGCTTGTAGTATGGGTTTTAACTTACGAGTACAAATGTAACATTTACATCCCTACGTACCATAAAATACTCAAGGTGATTAATATAATAAGCATTTGTAGTTTAGTGAACAACAGTGATTCTAATTTCTAAATACTATCAGCTGCACTTCTCATAGAGGAATATGAATACAGTATTGTAGCAAATTTTGTAACGAGCAACTGTGTAAGTGAAACGGGGAAAGAAAATGATCCAAACAAAAAACAGAGCAAGAATCTATGGAATGTTTTTTTCATAGTCAAAATTTTTTTCTGAACTTGTACGTTTTCTAGCTTCTTAATTTTATGATTGTTATATTGCATTAATAGCAGCTTAAGAATCAATAAAACAATATTCATTCATTTTGTAAATGAGTCAATTGATGATTTTTTATTTAACCAATCACCAATAATGGAATGGTATCATCGTCAATGTCTCTTTCTCAACTTGTACGGTTATTATGAACCTCCATTATCATTGTGATCTTATATTGCACTATTAGCCTACATATGAATCTCCAATGTTTTATTATCACCTTCATTAATTTTTAACAAAACACAAGTGTTATAAATTCATAACAGTTGTTTTTCTTAGATGAGTTTCATGTTTGTATTTCCTTGCGGATCATCTCCTCATGGTTTCTTGTAAACATTTATATCCCCTGCATAGTTCTCACTTCATTTTTTTCGTCATTTTTTGTTGAATAGCAGGAACTCGATTAAAGACCCCTTCATTTACCCTAATTAACGTAGGAAAACATCATGTTCATATTGGTGATACCATAAACTACAGGTGAGTGAACCAAACCAACCACTTTACAGTGCAATGATAATTTAATTCAATCACACTCGATTTTTTGCCACTCAGATATCTCTTATCTTTTTTCTCAATTAGAGCTTAGTTTTAAAAGGCACACGTAAACGTATAGGGTTGTTCATGAACTCTAGGAACAGGGCACATGACAACAACTCCCCCTTTTACAGATATATTTTTTGCTAGAATGTTTCTAAATAAATTATAGATCATATTTATACCAATATACAATTATAATGAAAATAAAATATAGATCACATATATACCAATATACAACTATAAATTAATTAGATGGTATAAATATAACTTTGGTCCTTTAAAAACCTTAAATTTAAGAATTAAAATTATAATTTTTTTAAGTATACAACTATAACAATAATGATAATAAATTAAATTATATTTTTAATGTTTCAAAATTTTAGAAATAAATTTAACTCCCCATAAAAGTATTTTAGGGATTGACCCCTGATCCCATGTACATAGTAACCACAATGTCTTTTTCCATTTCCAATTTAATAATAATATAAATTATGAAATTAAATGTAATGCTTATGTTTAGTTGATTACTTTCTCTATAATATTAACAATTAACATTTGAAATTGATATTCCATAAATACAAAATGGATAAGAGTTGGATAAATTTGTCCAGGGTAAGCGACGAATTTCGAAATGGAGTCGAAACTTTTCTAAATTTAGCTTTTGTGAATGCAAGCCAAGAGAATATGATTTTTTGCCCTTGTAAAAAGTGTGCTAACATTAATCGACACATTTGTGAAGTTGTGATGTAAGGTAATTCTACCTTCTCGTTTGATTGTGGATCTAGAAAGGAAGCAAAACAACCTGCACAAGTGAATGGCTCAAAAAGAGAGGGTTAAGGGTGGTGGACGTATGGTGAATAGGTGGGCTGTTTAAAAATGAGAGATGAAAGCGGATGATGATTGAAATGGTTATGGTTATGGCGATGAAACAAAAGGATGGTTGTGAGGATAGTATCTTGAAGAACGCTCAAAGAAGAAACAATGCTATAAAGAGCAAAGACCAAATCTTTATATTGTTTCTTCAAGGGGTGGTGATAAGTACATTGACCCACTAGTTATATGAACTAGGAACCAAAAGTATCGAGATGAATGAAGAGGGTTGACTCCACAAGTATAAATTATACTTGATAAGACGATAAAAAGTCACAATGACTTAAGGAAGAGAATAATCTCACTTTGATTAATAAAAATGGTCTATTACAAATGATGAATGCTTTCCTATTTATAGGAAATGGAGGGGCATAGCCGAATAGAGACATAATGGTTCGGCCAGCCTATGTATCTCCCTATAAAGACATAATTTAAATGCTAAAAGAGATGATGGTTCGGCCCTTGATGGAGGGAAATGATCCTTGGCCGAATAACACTTGTATCCCTTCAAATTGGTGCCAAATGGGAGGGGAGAGATGCTTGGCCGAATGGTTAAATGGCTCTTCATCTTGGCGCCTAAATGAGATCATATGCATGTCACATGGGGGCTGGTCATATGGCATGCACATGGGTGTTCTAGGGAGCCTTGTGGCGCAGCCTTGTGCATGGGATGATGGCTGGTCATGTTCTCTCTCTTGAGCGTGAATGTGTCTCCTCCAAGCTAGCTTGAGTTGTGGAGCTAGCTAGCAAGCATTGGTTGTTTGTGAACAAGCTTCCTAGCTAAGTCCTTGTGAGCTCCTTAACATTATGTTCAGCAATATTCAGCTACCTTTGACATCACTTTTGGCAACTCAGCTCCAAATAGTCCAACTAGCTAAGTTTAGCTAGCCTTAAGCTCCTCCAGCTGAATCGAGCTTCCCTTAGTGTTCCATGAGCTGTCTTTTACTTTATAAGCTGTTTTTGAGCTGCATATGACATCCAAATAATCCACCAAGCTGCCTCATCGTGCATCACACTCCAATGTACCTATATGTACAAGGAAACAAGGTAAGTCCATGATATTGAGCTGTTATGAGCTAAATACCTTGCTGCCATGTATGATTATAGTGATGTGAGCTATGTTTGAAGGTTATGAGCTAATTATATCATCTCAAAATATGTGTAAGATAATGCATGAAGCTTAAGAGTTAATATGAATGCATATGAACTAATGAAATGATTTATAATGATGCTGCCTTGATGTATATATGATAATCATGCTTAATATGATTATAAGACTATCCTAACATGCTTATAACATTGTGTAACAATCATAAAGATATGGGTATATGTTGTATGCATGAATATCATATAACATGGTATTCATAAATGATAAATGGAAACATGTAATAATAATATCCTAAGAAATGATATGTAATCATAGCATATATTTGAATAATATGAAAAACATGATCAAATAAGCATAAGATGGAAATAATAATATGATAATTTATACTAACATCTGAATGCATGCTTATGATAGAATAGAATGTATAAATGATATAGTATAAGATAAGGTAGTGAAGAACTCCCTTAGAAATAGATTTGAAGAACATCCATGGTGTGTTCAAGTCATGGAGAAAATTAGAGCTTGTTTGGATCGTATCATCCTCCCCTTATTTTAGGCGATTTGTCCTCAAATCGAAGTAGTTTCTCATTGAAGACCGTCTTGATGTAGGAATGATTGAATCCTTGTGTTTTCCTCCAATAGATGAATCTGTGACGATCTAGGTATATTAGAGAAGAAATAGCGAAGAAGAAAGGGATTTCAGAAGAGAAATTGAGAGAGTTTACAGAAAAAGTTCATGCATTTCTTTCATAAAAATGTTCCTCTTCTCAATACAGCATATTTTATTTAGTTACAGGGCTAATTCAGTCTTTTGAAAGGATGCCAGCTGGCTGTCCTTATAACAGATTATAACAATATTAGATTCTCTTCTTTGCAGGCTATTAGAATGAACCGTGGGCTAAACCTTCTCCATTTGGGTTGACTGGGCTGTTGACTCCTCTTGGATCCTTTTCTGGCCTGCTCCCCCATTGCTTGAACTGGTCACGTGCGGCTCCACTTCATCAGGTAACATCCGTGGCCCTTCAATTGCCATAATCCCTAATTCCCCAATCTCATTTTCCTCTCGCCCTTCAATCCCTAATTCCCCTTTTTCATTTCTCCTTCGCATCTTACTCCCTACTTCACTATTTTCCTCTTCGTTTCCATGTTCTTCTCTTCCAACTGTGACAATACCCGCCGCTGGAGAAGATCCTTGTCCCCAAGGATCAAAACTCGGAAATTGGCCTCGGAGCACAGAATAATCCTCCCATGTGTCGTTCGTAGCATCCAGGTTAGTCCAACGAACCAATAGTTGAGTTATCGGTTTGTTTTGTCTCTTAACTATTCGTCTGCCCAGAATCTGACTTGGTTCAATCTTGAACTGACCCACTTCGTCCATCACAGGAGGATCTGTTGAAGACGATACGGTTGCCCCAATATGTTTCTTCAATAAACTAACATGAAAAACCGGATGGAGACGGGAAGTCTCAGGTAAGTCCAGTTTATAAGCAACTTTTCCAATTCTTTCAATAACCTTATAAGGGCCATAAAATCTTGCTGCTAATTTTAAATTTTTTCGCAGGGCAAGAGAGGTCTGTCTGTAGGGCTGTAATTTTAGGTAAACCAATTCACCAACCTGAAAATTTCTCTCTGATCGATGTTTATCTGCTTTTTGCTTCATTCGATTACTTGCTTGTTCTAACTGAGACTTGACTAATTGCCTGATCTCTTCTCTATTCTGCATTAACTCTGATATGCCTTGTACTGGACTGTCTGTATGCCATACCATAGTAGGTGGCTTGTAGCCATATAGGACTTCAAAAGGTGTTAACTTAAGGGCAGTATGGTAGGTAGTATTATACCACCATTCAGCATGAGGCAACCACTTTGCCCACTGTTTTGGTTGGAAAAAACAGAGACCCCTTAGATACTGTTCTAAGCACTGGTTTACTCTTTCTGACTGTCCATCAGTTTCAGGATGGTAGGCAGTGCTAAATAGAGCCTTTGTTCCTAACTGTTTCATTAGCTCTCTCCAAAAGAGGCTAGTGAAAGTCTTGTCCCTATCTGAAATGGCCATTTTAGGCTGACCATGCAACTTGTAAACACAATCTAGGTATAATTTGGCAACCTCTGCAGCAGTGTAAGGGTGTGCTAATGCCATAAAGTGGCTATATTTAGTAAACTTGTCAACTATCACCAGAATACAATTCTTTCTTAAAGATGTAGGCAATCCCTCAATAAAGTCCATAGTAATAACTTCCCAAGCCTGTTGAGGAATAGGTAAAGGCTGTAATAACCCTGGTTTAGGCACATGTTCCACCTTAGTCTGTTGACAAACTGCACATGCTCTTACATAAGTAACAACCATAGCTTTCAATCTAGGCCAATAGAAGTAAGACCTGATTCTTTGATAGGTAGCCTGACTGCCAGAATGACCACCATAAGGAGAATCATGTAGTGTCTGAAGTATCTGTAGTCTAAGAGATCCAGCTTCCCCAATATAAACTCTATCCTTAAATCTAAGGATACCTCCTGAAAATTTCCACTGCAGATCATCATTAGGAGTAACAGATAATACAGAAATCCATTGAGTAGCTATAGGATCATCCTTATAACTTCCTTCCACTTCATGAACCCAACCTGGAATAATTATTGTAGTGTTCATAGTAAAACAGTCACCCTGATCTTCCCACTGTCTGGATAAGGCATCCGCAACAACATTTGATTTACCTTTCCTGTATTGAATAGTGTAATCTAGCCCCAATAACTTGGTCAATCCTTTCTTTTGAATAGCAGTAGTCAGCTTTTGTTCTAATAGATATTTCAATGGCTCATGATCTGTTTTAATCACAAAGGATTTACTCTCTAAATAATGCCTCCACTTGGAAACTGCTAGAAGTATAGCAAGATACTCTCTTTCATAAATAGAGAGTGCTGCATGTCTAGGACTGAGAGCCTTACTTAAATATGCAATAGGTCTGCCCTCTTGAGATAAAACTGCCCCAATACCACCAGAACTGGCATCTGTTTCCAAATAAAAGCTCTTACCAAAATCTGGTAAGGCTAAAACAGGAGCAACACACATAGCCCTCTTTAATTCTTCAAAAGCAGTCAAAGCTGCATCAGACCACTGAAAATTGTCTTTCTTAAGCATCTGAGTCAAAGGTTTGCTAATTGACCCATAATCTTTAATAAATCTTCTGTAATAGCCTGTTAATCCCAAAAATCCACGCAAAGACTTTAATGACTTAGGTACTGGCCAATTCCTCATAGCTTCTACTTTGTTAGGATCAGTAGAAACTCCAACAGTTGAAATAATATGGCCCAAGTATTCAACCTGATTCTGTCCAAAGAAGCATTTGGACAGCTTGGCAAACAGCTGATTCTGATGCAGTACTTCGAAAACCAGTCGTAAATGAGTAACATGATCATTCATAGAAGTACTATAGACTAAGATATCATCAAAAAATACCAAGACAAATTTTCTAAGAAATGAACTAAACAATTCATTCATCAAAGCTTGAAATGTAGCAGGGGCATTAGTAAGTCCAAAAGGCATCACCTTAAACTCATAATGTCCTTGATGAGTTCTGAATGCTGTCTTGTATATGTCCTCAGACTTAATCCGTATTTGCCAATAACCAGATCTGAGATCAATCTTGGAAAAATAAACTGCTCCATGCAGTTCATCTAATAGGTCTTCAACCACAGGTATAGGAAATTTATCCTTTACAGTCATGCTATTTAATTTCCTGTAATCCACACAAAACCTCCAAGTACCATCCTTCTTTTTGATAAGAAGGCATGGAGAAGCAAATGGACTCCTACTAGGCTGAATAATAGAGGCTGAAAGCATACTAGAAATCTGTTTTTCCACCTCATCTTTCTGATTGTGTGGAAATCTGTAAGGTCTCAAATTGATAGGAGTAGAGTCAGGCTTAAGTGGAATAGCATGGTCATGAGTCCTTGTAGGTGGTAACCCCGTAGGTTCTTCAAAAATAGACTGATATCTCTGTAAAAGAGGTTGAATAGCTGGTGGAACAGGTTTTGAATCTGTAGACATAGTCAACAAAACCACATGACCCAAAATAGGAGAATCTGATGCTGTCATTTTCAATAATGTAGCTCCAGAAATTTGCTGCAAAAAATTAGATGGTTGTTGTCCCTGTATAATAATATTCTCCCCTTGATGTTGAAAACTCAATGTCATTTGATTAAAGTCCATCAAAATAGGGCTAAATAATTTCATCCAATCCACCCCCAACACCATATCACTGCCACCTAACTTTAGGAGTCTGAAATCATGAACAAAAGATTGCCCTTGCATCTGCCACTCCACCTGATTACATCTTGCTGAACTATAAAGTTTCTGTCCATTGGCTACTGTGATTGCCAAAGGATAGGGTGTAATTACCTGTATACCAGCATCAGTCCACTGTGGAGTCAAAAAACTATGAGTACTTCCACTGTCAATTAAAATACTAATTGGTCTACCTTTAATGGCTCCTTGAATCCTTAATGTATTATGGCTAATACAACCAGTAATAGCATTCATCGAGATTTCTAGAGCCTCTTCTTCCTGCATCAATTGCTGATCTGATTCCATAATAACATTATCTGTAGGAACAGCAGACTCTTCCTCAATCATCAAATTTAAATTCCTTGACTTACATTGATGCCCTGGAAGAAACTTCTCCCCACACTTGAAGCAAAGATTGTTTTGTCTTCTATAATCCATAAGACTCTGTTTAGGATTAGAAACTGATGTGTTTTTGGTAATTGATGGCAGAGAAACTGATTTAGAAGTAACAATGGGGTTTGGGTAGGGTGGGTTTTTAAAAGAAGGCCTCATTCTTCTATTTTCATAATCAACAGATAATTCATAAAGTTTGGCTTGTTTGTATGCTTCAGGCAAATTTTTAGGATCTAGAGCCTTCACCCTATGTTTAATATCCTCCCTTAGTCCACTGATAAACAATGACACAAAGAAATCCTCATGTAATGTAGGATTTTGTAATAACATATAAGGTTGTAGCTCTTCAAATTTTTCCTGATAAGCCTCAACAGTCCCTTTCTGAGTCAACTTAGTAAATTCCTCTACAATATCAGAAAAAGTCTTGTCACTAAATCTATGACAAAGATCTGCTTCAAATTCATGCCATGTTACATGGTGTTTCTGCATAATATATCCATCAAACCAAACTTCTGCTTTTCCAGTCAAGTACATAGTGGCTACTTCAACTCTCTGCTCTGTAGGAACATTACATATAGAAAAATATTTGAGACATTTTTGAAGCCACCCTCTAGGATTGATTCCTTCAAAGAATGGTAAATCGATTTTAGGTCTATGCCACATCGACCCATAACTGCTAAAAGAACCCCCTGGTCCCCTGTTTTCAGCTTCCATTCCAATCATAATAGGTCTATTGTTACTATTTTCCCCCATTTGATTCTCAGGTCTACTACTGTTCTTAAGGTTGAAACAAGCATCAGGCTTATCTTTTAGTATACCCTGTTCATTGGTTTTATAAGTGAATCTGGATTTGTCCTTCACTACAGTCACTAACACAGGATTTTTCTCCCCATCCTTAGAGTTATTAGGAGTGTTTACCTGATCACCTGCAGACTGTTCTTTTTCCCCATTTTTGCCCGTTAAAATTTTCAACAGCTCCTCCACATAACCTTGATTAGTGGACATTCTTGCCTCTACTGCAGCAATCCTGTTTTCTTGAGTCTCCCACCATTTCGGTGGATTAGTCTCATCACGGCCTTGTTTCACCAAGGCTGTTAGCTCCTCCATCTGCTTTTGCAACCCAGATAAATCAGCTTCCATATTCTGATTTTTCTTGGTCATGCTCCTGATTACTTGCCAGAACCGAGGCTCTCGATACCAATTGTGACGATCTAGGTATATTAGAGAAGAAATAGCGAAGAAGAAAGGGATTTCAGAAGAGAAATTGAGAGAGTTTACAGAAAAAGTTCATGCATTTCTTTCATAAAAATGTTCCTCTTCTCAATACAGCATATTTTATTTAGTTACAGGGCTAATTCAGTCTTTTGAAAGGATGCCAGCTGGCTGTCCTTATAACAGATTATAACAATATTAGATTCTCTTCTTTGCAGGCTATTAGAATGAACCGTGGGCTAAACCTTCTCCATTTGGGTTGACTGGGCTGTTGACTCCTCTTGGATCCTTTTCTGGCCTGCTCCCCCATTGCTTGAACTGGTCACGTGCGGCTCCACTTCATCAGGTAACATCCGTGGCCCTTCAATTGCCATAATCCCTAATTCCCCAATCTCATTTTCCTCTCGCCCTTCAATCCCTAATTCCCCTTTTTCATTTCTCCTTCGCATCTTACTCCCTACTTCACCATTTTCCTCTTCGTTTCCATGTTCTTCTCTTCCAACTGTGACAGAATCACACAAAATGTTCAACCTCTTGGCTTTAAATCTGGTAACTTCACATCCTTTGATGGGAGGACACAATGTTTGGAAACCAGCACATGTCCTTTGATTCAAAAATTGTGTCTTGTACTCCAAAGGTTGTATCCTTTCAAAAAATTGTATCTTTTCACTCTTACTCCTTGAATCATCATGATGGTTGGTGAAGAAATTTGACTTTTGA